TAAATAACACACAGTACCTCCATCTACTCGTTTAAGGGCTCTTGAAACATTCCAAAATCTGGTACGGTATAGTCAACCAATGAGATATATTTAAGAACAATTTGAAATAAGAAACCTCTGATTTGATCACTTAAAGAGTTTGGCATACAACATTTACCAGAAGGCAACTACAGATAAGTTGGATACTGATCACCCAATAAAAACCCACCTAATTTTAATCACCAGGATCGCGACAAATGCAGCATTAATTGGTTTGTTTACCGAGTAAGGTGGCTTTTCATCTGGGCAAGGACAACACATGCACGGTGCGTCAGTGCAACTTCGGCCAATCAAAATTTACCTCTGCTCTGATTGGTCACTTCTGTATTTTGACACAATATGCTCCTGGATCTCACATTATTAGTGGGTTTGTTGTCATTTACTGTGATTTGCCCCCCGAGCTCTTGGAAATATTATTTTACCACGGTAGGTCGAGTTTTCTTTGTGAAAAATCTCATGCTTTCGTGTTGATGCAAGAATTGTGCCGCGTGATTTTGCAAGTTTTTTTTCATTGAAGCAATTATTAAAGCTATTAGCGTTATTACTTAATGTTACTGTTTATTGTGTTTATTTAGTGAAGAAATTTGGAAAGACCACAAACACACATATACCTCAAAATAGCCAGTTTTAGCCGCTGAATATATCTCTAACTATAGTGATGGGAAGGCTGCAATTTGTGAATCTCTCATTCTGTAGGCATATAAAGAAATCTCGACCATAAACTTTTTCGGAGATATTTCTTGGTATTACTGTCCAGGAGAACCTTTCAGGGCTCCGTCAAGGTAAAATCTATCCACTTTTACCCGATCAGAAGTAGACATTTTAGGGAAGATATCATGCTTTTAGAACAGCTCGAAATGCGAGGTAAAGGAGCGCAATTTAATCTGTCAAATTATTTAATTTTAAAAATTAGCATTTTTTGAGTTAATCTGCAAAATATCTAAACGTGCGATCTAAAATGCACATCAAAAGGTTGCCCACCCCCACCAAATGGAGCCATGTGTGTGTGCACCAGCTCCAGAGCCCGCTAGATAAAAAAAAATTAGCTTTTTTTCTTCTTGATAAGCTTTAAAAAGTGAAAAAGATTATGTAACCATTTAATGGTTATGTAGCTCAAATTTTCGACCTGGTCTGGTTTGTTATTTACATTCATCACCCAGAAATATTACTAAAATTTGTTTCATAAACAACTTTACTTCCAGTTAAAAATGATCAAAATCTCTTCTAGACGATTTTTTTAATAATTAAAGCAGGTTTTTTTTAAAAAAAGGGAGAAGAGAAAACCATGATGGCTTAATGCCTTGGTTTTCATAATTAATGTCGCCTCTAAATTAGCATTAATGAGGTGTGGCATGGGCTGAGACGACTTTGGTGGCCGTTGACCTCCAAGCCTAAGCAGAGTCCTCAATTTCCTCGCTTTAGTAGTGTCAAAAGTGGGTGAAACAGTATAAATTCCCCTCTCCTTTAAAAGTACATGCCGTCCATTTACTGTCTTTTATTTACAACTTGCTACTAGTATTTTAAAAGGTTCTTTTTGTCCCGCCGTCTAGACAACACCTTGAGAAAAATAGTCGAAAGTTATTTCTCTTCTTCACGAGTACCTCTAAACAAATGATGGTAAAGTAGGGCAAAGACAAGTGCGTTGATACCATCTACTGTTATTCTACCCATTCGCTTAGACTAATGGGATTCAGTACAGTGTAGGACACGAATTTTGCTTCCTAGACTTCTTCCAGACAAACTTGAAAAGAGGCGATGAAATACAAAAATAGGGGAGTTTATGGATCAAAATTCTCCTGAAAAAACCTTCAGATTACAAACAATTTTTAAAAAGTTGATTATATCATTATTCGAGAGATTTTTATTTGCAGATTGAGAGAGAAATAAGAAAAATTCGGGGTGAATACAAAAAAACGTCTTTCTGGCAGATGTTTCAAAACTTGTTTACTTAGACACATTGTTAAGTACGCGACTGATTTTTTACTCAAAAAAGAGAGGGATTATTTTGTCTGCCACAGATCGCTAACTTCAACATTTTCTAATTCACTAGTCCAGACAAAGTTGATTTTGAGCTTTGGAAAAACATTTCTTTCTAATCATGCAGTAATCTTGACCGGTGCCACAGATGCAGCAAAATAGTTGCAATTTACGGCTTTCAAGAATCCAAAAAGACCTTTTTTGTCAGAAGTGGAACCCAGGGTTTCTTATGAGGTTAACGGTAGCTGCAGACTAGAATGCCCGTAAAGAAAGAGTAACATTTCGTTTCAGGTTAGGAAATTATGCTTTATTGGTGACTTTTAAGTCGTTAGTCAATATAACTCGTTTTGCTGGTCTTTAAAAAGATCTTGACAATGAAGCAAGCCTGTTAGAGAGCTGAAATAGACCATAATAACTGAATTTAATTGTATGGCTTACATAAGTTATTCTTACTGGTCTTTTTACAAAGTAGTGAAGTTTTCAAATTAATACATATTTGGCGATGTTTAACAAAGTGAAATCCACCAATTATATCCCTAATAATTGTTTAACCAATCAAAATGAAGTCTCCGTCCTATGAAGAGCTGTGTGACCAATCAGCTGCAAGGACTTCAGTTGTAATATGGTTGGCTGCTTTAAATTTTTCACTTACCATAACTATCTACTACTATCTACTACAGCTCTGGAGATATTAGCAGTATTTAACAATGAACAATTTCTCAAAAATTGCGTCAAGATCAAAATTTTGACTGCCAAGATAAAAAGCCCTTCGTAGATGCTGTCTTTATTCCCACTCGCTCATTTTCACACAAGGAAACAAGACTTTTGATTTAGTGGTCTCTTTCAAATACGGAATCTTCTCAACATCCGGATTAGATCGCCTTAATTGAGCCAGTTATTTATCCTCCTTAGGCTTATTTACAGTAAATCTTAAAGTCCAAGAAAAGCTAAGAAAATTTTTTGCCAGAGGTGTTTATGGGATAAAATATACCCTTTAAAAACCTCATCATAATTACCACTAACCTTTTGAACAATCACGTTACTTCATTAATATCAGATAAAGAAGGTGAAAGCATTGACCTTTGACATTTGCTTCCAGTTGTATCGAAGTATTTTAAAATTATGTGCAATTTAGGCGCTACATCTACCATGGTTCTTTTGTCTTTATTGAATCCTAGCCACTTTTATTCCCGAATTTTGTTTGACCCAAAGAGGAGCACTACATTTTCCTTCTCAATTATAAGCCCAAATTGGAACTGGGAGGGGACAAGAAGCGATTTCGACCCCGTTGGTATTTAACCACGTTGCTAACTTAGGAGTTGTTGACAAAATGCAAGAGGTGGTATGTTAGGGAAAAGTGCTACTTAGTGACAATTTGTTGACATGCAAAAGCCATAAAGCATTAACTATTACTCATTAGTGTGTAATAATTTTGGCTGGAGAACAGACAAAAAAAGGTGGGATTTCGTGCCACTGGACCATTCAACAAATTCCAAAGTGGACAAGTTTTCACCGATTTGTCTGTGGTGTCTTGCAATGGACATGCAAGAAAACGAGTGCAGAATACTTGGCGCCCAAAAGTTCGTCCTTTGGTTAAATTTTGGGTGAGAATCACATGCTAATGCCTGTTGGATTAATATGAGTATAAAAATGACCACATGGTATGATAAATGCAAGCCTGAGCTGAGACCATGGTAAAGGATGGGGAACCGAAGACAGCTGTGTAGTATATTAAGGTACCAAATATGGTCGTTTTTCTATCCTTCCGGGTTTCATACATACACTGCATTTATCTCGTATCCTTTTACCCATCCAGTTATCCCGTAACAACCTACTAGTGCCGCACTCGTCCCGTTTCCATTGATCCATTCGTATTTATCCATCCCTCATAAAGCCATTTTATCTATTGCATATCCATTCCGTATCAGGCTATCCATCCTGATTCCATCTACCCTGTACTCATCCATCCATCCAGCCATTCCGATGCCGTCTCTTATCGACCTATCTATCTACTCTTCCATCATCCATTCATACCTCCATCCCGTGCCCCTCCAATGTCACTCCTGTATCAATCCATCTTTTAAAGAGTTTGGCATACAACATTTACCAGAAGGCAACTACAGATAAGTTGGATACTGATCACCCAATAAAAACCCACCTAATTTTAATCACCAGGATCGCGACAAATGCAGCATTAATTGGTTTGTTTACCGAGTAAGGTGGCTTTTCATCTGGGCAAGGACAACACATGCACGGTGCGTCAGTGCAACTTCGGCCAATCAAAATTTACCTCTGCTCTGATTGGTCACTTCTGTATTTTGACACAATATGCTCCTGGATCTCACATTATTAGTGGGTTTGTTGTCATTTACTGTGATTTGCCCCCCGAGCTCTTGGAAATATTATTTTACCACGGTAGGTCGAGTTTTCTTTGTGAAAAATCTCATGCTTTCGTGTTGATGCAAGAATTGTGCCGCGTGATTTTGCAAGTTTTTTTTCATTGAAGCAATTATTAAAGCTATTAGCGTTATTACTTAATGTTACTGTTTATTGTGTTTATTTAGTGAAGAAATTTGGAAAGACCACAAACACACATATACCTCAAAATAGCCAGTTTTAGCCGCTGAATATATCTCTAACTATAGTGATGGGAAGGCTGCAATTTGTGAATCTCTCATTCTGTAGGCATATAAAGAAATCTCGACCATAAACTTTTTCGGAGATATTTCTTGGTATTACTGTCCAGGAGAACCTTTCAGGGCTCCGTCAAGGTAAAATCTATCCACTTTTACCCGATCAGAAGTAGACATTTTAGGGAAGATATCATGCTTTTAGAACAGCTCGAAATGCGAGGTAAAGGAGCGCAATTTAATCTGTCAAATTATTTAATTTTAAAAATTAGCATTTTTTGAGTTAATCTGCAAAATATCTAAACGTGCGATCTAAAATGCACATCAAAAGGTTGCCCACCCCCACCAAATGGAGCCATGTGTGTGTGCACCAGCTCCAGAGCCCGCTAGATAAAAAAAAATTAGCTTTTTTTCTTCTTGATAAGCTTTAAAAAGTGAAAAAGATTATGTAACCATTTAATGGTTATGTAGCTCAAATTTTCGACCTGGTCTGGTTTGTTATTTACATTCATCACCCAGAAATATTACTAAAATTTGTTTCATAAACAACTTTACTTCCAGTTAAAAATGATCAAAATCTCTTCTAGACGATTTTTTTAATAATTAAAGCAGGTTTTTTTTAAAAAAAGGGAGAAGAGAAAACCATGATGGCTTAATGCCTTGGTTTTCATAATTAATGTCGCCTCTAAATTAGCATTAATGAGGTGTGGCATGGGCTGAGACGACTTTGGTGGCCGTTGACCTCCAAGCCTAAGCAGAGTCCTCAATTTCCTCGCTTTAGTAGTGTCAAAAGTGGGTGAAACAGTATAAATTCCCCTCTCCTTTAAAAGTACATGCCGTCCATTTACTGTCTTTTATTTACAACTTGCTACTAGTATTTTAAAAGGTTCTTTTTGTCCCGCCGTCTAGACAACACCTTGAGAAAAATAGTCGAAAGTTATTTCTCTTCTTCACGAGTACCTCTAAACAAATGATGGTAAAGTAGGGCAAAGACAAGTGCGTTGATACCATCTACTGTTATTCTACCCATTCGCTTAGACTAATGGGATTCAGTACAGTGTAGGACACGAATTTTGCTTCCTAGACTTCTTCCAGACAAACTTGAAAAGAGGCGATGAAATACAAAAATAGGGGAGTTTATGGATCAAAATTCTCCTGAAAAAACCTTCAGATTACAAACAATTTTTAAAAAGTTGATTATATCATTATTCGAGAGATTTTTATTTGCAGATTGAGAGAGAAATAAGAAAAATTCGGGGTGAATACAAAAAAACGTCTTTCTGGCAGATGTTTCAAAACTTGTTTACTTAGACACATTGTTAAGTACGCGACTGATTTTTTACTCAAAAAAGAGAGGGATTATTTTGTCTGCCACAGATCGCTAACTTCAACATTTTCTAATTCACTAGTCCAGACAAAGTTGATTTTGAGCTTTGGAAAAACATTTCTTTCTAATCATGCAGTAATCTTGACCGGTGCCACAGATGCAGCAAAATAGTTGCAATTTACGGCTTTCAAGAATCCAAAAAGACCTTTTTTGTCAGAAGTGGAACCCAGGGTTTCTTATGAGGTTAACGGTAGCTGCAGACTAGAATGCCCGTAAAGAAAGAGTAACATTTCGTTTCAGGTTAGGAAATTATGCTTTATTGGTGACTTTTAAGTCGTTAGTCAATATAACTCGTTTTGCTGGTCTTTAAAAAGATCTTGACAATGAAGCAAGCCTGTTAGAGAGCTGAAATAGACCATAATAACTGAATTTAATTGTATGGCTTACATAAGTTATTCTTACTGGTCTTTTTACAAAGTAGTGAAGTTTTCAAATTAATACATATTTGGCGATGTTTAACAAAGTGAAATCCACCAATTATATCCCTAATAATTGTTTAACCAATCAAAATGAAGTCTCCGTCCTATGAAGAGCTGTGTGACCAATCAGCTGCAAGGACTTCAGTTGTAATATGGTTGGCTGCTTTAAATTTTTCACTTACCATAACTATCTACTACTATCTACTACAGCTCTGGAGATATTAGCAGTATTTAACAATGAACAATTTCTCAAAAATTGCGTCAAGATCAAAATTTTGACTGCCAAGATAAAAAGCCCTTCGTAGATGCTGTCTTTATTCCCACTCGCTCATTTTCACACAAGGAAACAAGACTTTTGATTTAGTGGTCTCTTTCAAATACGGAATCTTCTCAACATCCGGATTAGATCGCCTTAATTGAGCCAGTTATTTATCCTCCTTAGGCTTATTTACAGTAAATCTTAAAGTCCAAGAAAAGCTAAGAAAATTTTTTGCCAGAGGTGTTTATGGGATAAAATATACCCTTTAAAAACCTCATCATAATTACCACTAACCTTTTGAACAATCACGTTACTTCATTAATATCAGATAAAGAAGGTGAAAGCATTGACCTTTGACATTTGCTTCCAGTTGTATCGAAGTATTTTAAAATTATGTGCAATTTAGGCGCTACATCTACCATGGTTCTTTTGTCTTTATTGAATCCTAGCCACTTTTATTCCCGAATTTTGTTTGACCCAAAGAGGAGCACTACATTTTCCTTCTCAATTATAAGCCCAAATTGGAACTGGGAGGGGACAAGAAGCGATTTCGACCCCGTTGGTATTTAACCACGTTGCTAACTTAGGAGTTGTTGACAAAATGCAAGAGGTGGTATGTTAGGGAAAAGTGCTACTTAGTGACAATTTGTTGACATGCAAAAGCCATAAAGCATTAACTATTACTCATTAGTGTGTAATAATTTTGGCTGGAGAACAGACAAAAAAAGGTGGGATTTCGTGCCACTGGACCATTCAACAAATTCCAAAGTGGACAAGTTTTCACCGATTTGTCTGTGGTGTCTTGCAATGGACATGCAAGAAAACGAGTGCAGAATACTTGGCGCCCAAAAGTTCGTCCTTTGGTTAAATTTTGGGTGAGAATCACATGCTAATGCCTGTTGGATTAATATGAGTATAAAAATGACCACATGGTATGATAAATGCAAGCCTGAGCTGAGACCATGGTAAAGGATGGGGAACCGAAGACAGCTGTGTAGTATATTAAGGTACCAAATATGGTCGTTTTTCTATCCTTCCGGGTTTCATACATACACTGCATTTATCTCGTATCCTTTTACCCATCCAGTTATCCCGTAACAACCTACTAGTGCCGCACTCGTCCCGTTTCCATTGATCCATTCGTATTTATCCATCCCTCATAAAGCCATTTTATCTATTGCATATCCATTCCGTATCAGGCTATCCATCCTGATTCCATCTACCCTGTACTCATCCATCCATCCAGCCATTCCGATGCCGTCTCTTATCGACCTATCTATCTACTCTTCCATCATCCATTCATACCTCCATCCCGTGCCCCTCCAATGTCACTCCTGTATCAATCCATCTT